CGAAGAGAGTGAACTGGGTGGTACAATGGAGTAACTACTTGTCATCCTCTCCCCTTAACATAAAAAGGTAAAGGTACCCCTGCCCGTACGGGCCAGTCTTGACAGACTCTAGGGTTGTGCGCCCATCTCACTCTAGAGGCCGGGGGCCAGCGCTGTCCGGAGACACTTCCGGGTCACGTGGCCAGCGTGACGAAGCTGCTCTGGCGAACCAGAGCTGCACATGGAAACGCCGTTTACCTTCCCGCTAGTAAGCGGTCCCTATTTATCTACTTGCACCTGGGGATGCTTTCGGACTGCTAGGTTGGCAGGCGCTGGGACCGAGCAACGGGAGAGCACCCCGCCGCGGGGATTCGAACCACCGACCTTTTGATCGGCAAGTCCTAGGCGCTGAGGCTTTTACCCACAGCGCCACCCGCGTCCCCCTTAACATACTAGGAGCTTAAGTAGCTCCATATGTTTGCTGTTTAGTGATGTGTATAGTTGAGCAGAGCAATTCAAAGAAGAAAAATAAACCCTGTCTCTCAAAGTTCCTCTCATGATCTCCCCTTCTGGTGGGTCCCTGAAGCCTTAACTGCTAATAGGAGACTAATGGCAATCAGAAATTGGCATCTGATCCATTTTCTACAATACTCCAGTGTTATGCTACATTGAGAGCATTATAGCAAATTTTAAAGGGTGGATCAGATCCAGCCACCCAGTGCATGGGGCCCAAATTACACTCCAGAATGGGTCCAGCTCGGACTTTGGGATCCCAGGACCTGCCCAAGGGAGTTTTGTGCTGATGCTGGGCATGAAGCTGCATGAAGGGAATGCTGTCTAAACACAATTCAAAATTTAAAAATATTTTAAAATGGATTAACAAATATGTGTCTATGTCAGGTACAGTTTAGAACAGATCTTTGTAAAAATCATTTGCTATGCTTTCTTTAAAAACAATTGTTAACTCAGTTACATTCTCACAAACTGAAAGGTCTATGGAATGGCAATATTGTTTCCAAGTAAATAATCCTATGGGGTGGGGGGTAGGTGGGGGGAAATCCCTGCTCACTGCAGACGCGTCTTCAATGCAAGCAGCCACCAGCAAGCCAACTTCATTTGAGTATGATGAATCTTTTATTTTCTAAATCAATGATGGTCTATGTTTATGAACCAGCGGGTAAAACTAAGTGTTGTGTATAAAACACAGGACTGTGCCAAAAACCTACATACATCCTGACATTATTACACTGCACCTTTTCCCACTCCTGTCTGCAACAGCCAATGGCACAAATAAATGTCATAAGAATCCAGATAACAAAGGGACCACAACTGTTTTAAAACAAATCATCTATTTCCACAGAATATCACAGGTGGTAGTGAACATCACTCTCACTAGTAAGTTGTGTGGATGTATTAATGATCATGAGAATGTGAGCAACTACATGCATTCTCCTTGCAGATAATTACTCAATCCAAGTTAACTCCCATGATCCTCTATGTATCTGTGGCACACAGTACAGGAACCCCAAGTAATTGGTGTGCCATTCTCTACCAGACAATCTACTGACTATGCATAAAGTTCCTAAATGGTCATGGAATACTTGCAGTGCCCCCAAGTTCATCTATGTCCTCATCCAGGCAAACATTCACAATTAAATGGGTCATGTAGAGCACTGCCACAAAACTACTGATGTCAGGGTCAGCATGCCTCTGAATATCAGTTGTTAGAAATCCCAGTTGGAGAGAGTGCTGTTCACATTATATCTGAATGAATTCTAAGAGTCATTTGTACCACAATGGATTGATAAAATAGTATTAGTATTGTTTTCAAACAGCTCCTTAAAAGACCTCTCCAGAATATATTCTAAAGGAAAAAACTGAACTGTTGAAGTACACAACCTGGAGAAGAGTACTAATGCACACATTGTATATCTCAGCATTACCATATTGCATGCTGATCCAAGTAAAATTTACAAATTAAAAGAAACTGTATTACTGCAAAAAATAATAATATAAAAATAGAACACGTCGCACAGGAAAGGAATGCATATGGATTCAAACATTTAGGAATGCTCATACTATGTAAATATTCTGAAGTACACAAGACCCATGCTGCAAGAGGAGGCTGAAATGTCAGCTTTCAGATCTTCCTCGGTTTTTTTGGCTCTTTGCTTTTGTAGAGTTCATGGTACCTATTTGTTCATCATCACAATCTTCAAATGTAAGCCAGCAAAATGCCACAAAGTAAAAATGCTGTCAACACTCTCTATGCAATTTGACGGGCTCAGTGCAATCTCCGTGTGATAGAAAAGAGCTAAAGAAACGGCTAGAGAGTTCCTAATTCAGGTCAAATAGTAATTAGCATGGTTTGTTCAGATATTAATAATGTAATATATAATAGCCAGTGATTAAGTCACATGATATTGTTCACTACTTTCTAAAGTAGGGCAAGTACTCCACACCAGTATTGCAAGGGGGGGGGGGCATCATGGCAGTTGGCAACCTCAGAATTTGGCAGCATAGTTTAACCATCAACACTAGCCAGTGTCACAGCCAGCCCAAATTCTTCCCCTCTGTCTTAGCAACACTTATTCTCTGCTCCATCTTTAAAGGGACAAAGAAATGAACACATATAGAATTCTCTAGTATATGCATTTATATTGCTTATTATCACAAGAATAGAGAGGGGGCCACCAATACACCCCAGGATTATGTACTCAATTATGCAGACTGCGTTGTATTTATGTTAAGGAAAGTAAAATCAGAATATCATTTTCACTTGTTAGGTCTACTGGGACCAGAGGCAGGCTGGGCGTCAAAACCTGTCCTGTAATAATTCCGATACCAACAGCCTTGTGTAGGCGGACTATGTAGCAATAGCTTGCAATCTGTTAGCAGCAGCACCTTAGCATGAAGCCTATTTTTTCAGAGAACTACAAAGGGAATTGTACAATCAACCAGTAGGAAAAAAACCCAATGCCTTCGTCAACACCAAGTTGAAGTTGAAGAAGCCATTGATTTATATTATCTCAAATTACCGTATTTTTCGCTCTATAACACGCATCTGACCATAACACGCACATAGTTTTTAGAGGAGGAAAACAAGGAAAAAATATTCTAAATGAAACTGTGGGTGTATGATTTTTATGGTTCATGCTGTGGCCACAGACATGTGATCTGACAGTGAGTTTGGGGTAGCCCAGTGCAAAAATCCTGAGGATCCATGTGGATCCATGCTTTGTAACCACGTTTTTGCGCCATTGCGGCCCCATGAAACAGTGGGTGCGTGTGTGTTTTTTGGTGCAGGCTGTAGCCATGGAAATGCTATGTGATCTGATGGTGAATTTGGGGTGACCCAGTGCAAAAATCCTGAGGATCCATGTGGATCCATGCTTTGTAACCACATTTTAAGTGGGGAGGGAAGGAAAAGAACTCAAGGGACAAGGAGCACGCGTGGGGTGTGTGGAGAAAGAGCTTTTCGTCGAGCTGAGCGGGGAGGAGGGAGGGAAAGAGCACTGTTGCTTTAAAGGTATACTTAAGGTATTTGCCCTGTGCCTGGGTTTTTTTCCATTTAACAGTTTGCAGCCTTTTCCTTCCGCTCCTTGTTTTGAGGCAGAATAGATTTGAGCAAGTGAGGAGGACTTGGATTGCAGGGGATTCGCCATTAGCTGTGTAAAAGTGCTCTTCCTTGCAGCCTGAATGATAAGCAGCCACCAGCAGCAATAGAATGGAGCACAAAAAAGAGGTAGGGGCACTAGGACCCAGACAATGCTCAAATCTATCCTGCCTGAAAACAAGCTGCTACCTCCCAGCGGATGGATCAGCGAAGTTTTCCCCTCTCCCTCATCCCCAGCCTTTTTTTTTACTTCCTGGTTTTCACTGCGCTGGCTCAGAGCTCGAGGTTGGTTTTATTTTTGCTGCTGGTTGCTTAAATTTTATCTTTCCTGCCGTCCCTCTGCAGCCTCATTGCTCTGTTTAGAGAGCGCTCGAACTTTTGCTAGCGTCTGTCCCTCCTCCCGTGTAAGCGGCTGCTGCCGGCTTTGCTGCCATGGCTCTCCTTCCCTCCCTCCTCCCCGGCTCCAGGTCGCTTTAAAGCAAGCAAAGTGAGAGCCTCGTAGAGCGTGTAAGCGGCTCCCGCTTTGCTTGACTGACGGCAGCCATGGCTCCGATCCGTGCATTCGCTCCGTAACACGCACAGGCATTTTCCCTTACTTTCTAGGAGCAAAAAAGTGCGTGTTATGGAGCGAAAATTACGGTAACTTTTGCATCTTTAGAGGTTACTAGATTAAAGGACAACGTGTGGGTAATCATGCTAGAAGCATTTTCAGTTTTGTTTTAAACCACAAAGTATAGCATTGAACAAGTTCACGTTTTATTGCCCCATTCAAGATGTAGAGTGTATGGAACTTGCAACCAGCAACATGATAGAGCACAAATGGTATTTTTGCCACTAGGGAAAGGTTAAACAAAACACTTCTCAAAGGAAAAACAGTTGACAGGAAATGTGATCTGCATATCCACATACCCAACAGTATTAAAAAAAACTGAACAGCTAACAAGAATTGCCTTGCAGCTTAACAGGAAAACTCACTGGTCAGGAAGCACTGAAAGTATTAATAAGAGAGCAAACTGCATATCTGGTGATGTCACGTTTCACATCAAAAAGCTGATGCTTCACCCAGATAAATATTTACTATAAATATTTCATTGAAAATGAAATCCAAAATAGTGAAGCTATTTTTGCTTACTTCAAACCACAAATGAATCTAAAAACAATTCCACAATGATACTTTTCACAATAACTTCATGATTCCATTATATTCCTGAAACAACCCAGTACTCCTCACTTTGCTCTCTATACTTTCACATAAATTTTGAAGCAAGAGAACTTGTGCACCAGTTTTGTTTGCCTAAGAACAGAAAAACATTTCAGGAGACCAGACTTTGTATAAGCAAAAAAGCAGTCGTCATTTTCCTGACCTAGTTCAAACTTAGATCCAACTCTGAAGATATTTACTATAGAACAAAAAGGTAACAAACAGGTTTAAACTCACCTCTGGGAATAAATTGTGTGCCACTTGTTTTAGTTTTTGGAGGAAAAAGCATGAATATTAAACCACTCCACTTACGAAAGAAAAAGAAAAATGTTCAAGTCAAAAGCAAACACAGATCTGCATGACCTCTCTCTCTTTTCCCGGGGTTAGGAAATCTATGAAGAAAGAAGAGAAATGAAGCTGTAGTGCAAGGCACATTGGCCTGGAAAATTGCTCATCACTTTCAGTTCCAGAACATGGTTGTGCAGAATCAAAACTAGGCACAATCAAAATCTTAAAACCTTTTATTTACACAATCAAGGAGGAAAACAAGACAAATGATTTAAGAATTAAAGAAAACAGTGTTAAGCAGTCAACTGGGGAGGGGTGGGAGCCACAATGTAAAAAGATGCTTCGATCAAGCTAATGAATAATTCAAATAGGTGGAATTTGCTTAGTTGATAACGCTACACTGATATTTGAATAGCCAGCTCCCCTTGGAGTCCAAGTTGTAACAGAATTCAGGCCAAATTATTACTAAGAACTGGGACACTGTGGGAGGGGATACAACTCTAAGGAGAAATGCAAGTTGAAGAAAAAGACTAAGGGAGTCCTTCTCTGGAACCAGAGAATGCTGTCCAACAAGATTGAGTATAACAACATTTCTCTCACCCCACCCAAAGCAGCAAACAGCAACAATTATAGGCTAGAGCCACTACCCTGAAACTAGGACGCAAGGCCATTTTGCAATTAGACAGGGATGCAACATAAATAAATCCTAATAAAATTTGAACCATATTCACAATCCGTATCACCTGAGCGTGAATATAAATGAAAATAAAATGGAAGGAAAAAGTTCAAGATACAGTGGATTCGATTTCCCTCTTGTCTGATTATTACATTTCCAGAAAAGACATACATACAGAAAATACTCCATTCTTTCTTTCTTGGTACACTGGGCAGGAATTAACATATAGATTCCTGTTAGAAACTATTCTTACGCTAAAAATGTCCCAGGTAAAGGTTATGAAATGTGGACACAGGTAGCTGTGTATGTATGTGTACATCTACACGCAGAGATCTACTGCTGCTCTACAAGCTACATTCAATGAACTGTTAAATAAGTAAATGCTATTATTAATGTATTTCTTATTTAGAAACTGCCCTTTATCCAAAGATCCCAGGGAAGTGTACAACATTAAGAACATAATTTACGCAGCATAATAATAAAAACAAAATACACAGCATAATAAAATAATGATTATAACAGTCTCTCTCTGCCCCCGCCCCCCAATTTAACAGGCTATATGTTATGTAATGGCAGAAGGCCTGGGTAAAGAGGAATGCTTTCACCTGGCACCTATATGTAATGATGGTGCCAGGCAAGCTTCTCTCTTTTTTATATATGATATTTATATTAAATTACTAGGCAAGCTTCTCTGATGAGAGCATTCCACAGACAGGGGGCCACCACAGAAAGCGCCTGTTCTTGTATTGTCACCCCAGGAACCTCCTCAGGGAGAGGAAACATCTGAAGGCAGCCCTGTTTAGGGAAGTTTTTAATGTCTGGTGCTTTGTTGTGTTTTTAATATTCTGTTGGGAGCTGTCCAGAGTGGCTGGGGAAACCCAGTCAGATGTGTGGCATACAAATTTATATTAATAATTATTATTAATAATTATTATCATTAACATGGAGAAGGGCCTTGGATGACAATCACAGGTTCCAGGTCAGTTCGTATGGCGGGGGCAGTTCTTAAGGTATTAATGTCCTGATTAGTGTAAGCCTTTATAGATCAGCACCAGCACTTTGAACTGGGCCCATAAATTAACTGGCAGCCTGTGTAGTCGGGCCAGGATCGGTGTTATATGCTCAAATAATCATGCTCTGGTGAGCAACTTGGCCATCAAATTTTGCACCAGCTGAAGTTACCAAACAGTCTTCAGAGGCAGCTTCATGCATAACACTTTGCAGTAATCCAACTTAGAGGTTACCAGAGCATGGGCCACAGAGGTTTGGCTATTCCTGTCGAGATTGGAAGCTCCTGCAGCCAATCGGAAGCCATGGAAGCCCTGTCAGACTTTCGGGTTCCAAAGAACACTCGCAAACTGGAACACTCACTTCTAACTAACTTTGATGTTGTTTCCCTAATTGAAAAGTTACTATCTTCATTGATTTAGTAAATGAGGAACATGTAGCTCTTGAGGTGTTGATGGATTCCCAGCTGTAGAAGCTCCTCCAAGCATGGCTAATGATGAGGGATGATTTTAGCTGGAGCAGGGACGCAGGTGGTGCTGTGGGTTAAACCACAGAGCCTAGGACTTGCCGTTCAGAAGGTTGGCGGTTCGAATCCCTGCGACGGAGTGAGCTCCCGTTGCTTGGTCCCTGCTCCTGCCAACCTAGCAGTTCAAAAGCACGTCAAAGTGTAAGTAGATAAATAGGTACCGCTCCGGCAGGAAGGTAAACGGTGTTTCCGTGCGCTGCTCTGGTTCGCCAGAAGCGGCTTAGTCATGCTGGCCACATGACCCGGAAGCTGTACCCCAGCTCCCTCGGCCAATAAAGCGAGATGAGCGCTGCAACCCCAGAGTCAGTCACGACTGGACCTAATGGTCAGGGGTCCATTTACCTTAAAACAGCATCCAGAAGGCCAGGGGTTCCCCATTACTGAAATATACCACCAAATTCAATAGGCACCACAACACAAATACAGTGGTACCTCGGGTTAAGTACTTAATTCGTTCCAGAGGTCCGTTCTTAACCTGAAACTGTTCTTAACCTGAAGCACCATTTTTAGCTAATGGGGTCTGCTGCTGCTGCCGCGCCGCCGGAGCACGATTTCTGTTCTCATCCTGAAGCAAAGTTCTTAACCCGAGGTACTATTTCTGGGTTAGCAGAGTCTGTAACCTGAAGCGTATGTAACCCGAGGTACCACTGTATAAATTATGAGGTAGACACTGATTGAAAACCACTATATGCTGTTGTTAAAATTTGTATACCACCCTTCACCCAAAGATCATAGGGTGGTTCACAACATAAAAATACAAAATGAGAACACAACACATTCTGAAACACTGGCCCAAAACCACAAGGTTTTTCCTGGGGGACAGGTAAGTATAGCCTGGAGGGATAAATTATACCTTAATGCACAAGTTTTAGAGTAAGCCACCATCAAGCTACCTCATGTGATTATTCTAATTTCCCTCAAGTCAGCTGTCTGAAGAAAGGACTATATGACAGGAGTTGTGTTGTCCTCCCAGTCTGGACTTTGTCATCTGCTTTGGTTGTGGATCTGATGTGTTGAGTGGGGTAGGGGCTACTTCAGGGGACAGACTGCTCTTTGTCAAGGGCAAGACACCCAGAACCGCCAAAGACATTGTATGGAACTGTAATAAATGAAACTTTAAGAAATTGTGCTTGAGCTTGCTTTTCTCTCCTGTCTCCTATCCCTTTTTTCTAGTATGTCCTATCTTTTTAGATTGTGAGTCGGAGAGCAGGGACAGTCTTAGGACTGATTTTCTGTAAGCTACTCTGACAGCCTTTTTACCCAAAGGGCAGGAGGTATAAATGCTGCAAATAAATAAAGCACATTAAACAGCTCAAAAAAACAAAAACAAAAAAACAAATTCATCATAGTGAGCCAGAAAGCTATGAACACACTTATCCTTTCTGACTCAGACAGAGACAATTAATGAATCTTTTCACATCACTAAGTATGTATAAATTGGATTTTAACCAATTTCAATAGTCACTGAGCCTTGCTTTGGGAGAAATGCCACCCTCAGGCTAAAGCTTGACTATCAGATTCTTCAGAGGTATATGAGGCAGCTGTCAAAAGAGTATTTTGCCCAAGTTGTAACCAAAACAGGAGCACTCCATTTCTGCTTAGATAGTATTGTTTTAGCTCAGAGAAATGGAGGAAACCCAAACACAGAGGGGTATTCTTGGGCTGATTTTTATTTATTTATTTTTTGAGTGTGCAGTTATCTGCCAAAGCAGCCTCATGAGTAGGCAAAAGGCATTTTGTGCAGCGCCATAATCCTGGATGACCTCCCTCATATTTGGCAGTAAGCCACAGCCATATAGCCAGCACAATCATGTCTCACCACACTACAGGCAAGAATTGCTGAGAATAGTAGGTATAATAGGGAGTTATTTTATGCTCAGTTTATGTACATAAATTCAGCCACAAAACACACTAAACACATGCTGATTGCAGCTAAAATTGCTGAATGTAATAAGAACACACCAATAATAATTTCTTATCCTACAAAAGCAGTGGTGTCAAAAGCCCATTCAGCCATAAACCTAACAGGAGGAACTTGGGATGAGAACTCTGTGCCTAACCTACCTGTTCTGAAAATGAAGTGGAACGCCATTGTATGCTGCCTTAAGCTCTGCCCAAATAAGACAAAATGCAAAACTAATAGAGAAACTAAGGCTGCAATCTTGACTTCACTTACTGGGGAGTAAAAGTCACATTGAATTCAATGGGATTTACTTTTCAGCAGACATTGTTAGGGTTGCAGCAACTGCTTGATTACTTCAATACAATACAATTTTCACAAATGAAGTTTAAAACATACAAAGTTTCCCTCAGCGAGAGCAACTAACAAGCAGACTCAGTTACTAAACTCATGATTCAAATTTCAGCCAACCAGGTTCATCATGTGAAAAACTGATGGTCATCGGAATCCATCCTAGTTTGTACAAACAGAAATACAAGGCAAGAAATAACAACAAAACAACATTGGGTCTATGTAAGCAACTACTGACGAACACTAAAGAACCTGTGCATGACATACAGTTTACTGTATCACTCCCAGTAAGGTTAGCAGGACATCTCATTTTCAGAGCACTTTATATTTCTTTGTATTTAAAATTAGCAGCTAACTTAAAAGATAAAACGAGTAGAGAAAAAGGATTTTGCCAGCTGCTTGCTTCTATATATGGTGAAAGGGCATCTTCAAGCAACTGAGTCATCTCATGAGTATCATTACATACGTAAATCCAGACAAGGAAAAGTATGGGCAATCCTAAAAATTTTGTGCCTAATCATTCTTTTAAAAAGTTAAAATTAAACTTGGGCTGAATTTTAAGAAGCCCCATGTTCTCTTTCAAACAATCCAACTTTAATTTTTTTAAAAAGAGCATTCACTTGTTTTTTCTGCTGAGCAAGTC